GATTCCTTTGGTGCCATTTCAAAATTGAGGGTTTTGAAACCCTCCACACTTGGACCACTAAGAAATAGACATGTGGAAACAATACTCCACATCAAATTATTCTTTTTTATTACAATTGGCCCCAAACCTAAATTGAATTATTTTTCTTTCCTTCACGGCAATCTCCCGTTAGAGAAAGCCGTCTCCATCTCCGGGCCAGAGTCTTCTCCAATTCGTCCTGAATCAGTGCCGCCGCCTTCATCACTCCGAGTCTGTCCGACGAAGAAATAGCAGCGCCATCTACCATTTTGCCCCTTCCGTCAATTTTCCGCTCAGGTTCCCTTAGCTTCCGTCAATTTTTCATCTATTAATTGCAATTCTTGTTTCTAAGTCTCGTTCTCTTGTTCCAAACAGGTGTATTTCTCATTTTTAGTTTGATTTAACCATGAATTCTTATTTTGAAAGTCTATGTGGTCTCATCTGTGTAGTTTTGAGATATCTCTGTACTTCAATTTTTTTTGTTTTTGTAAAATATTAATCTTGAGTTTGGTAAAAAAACGTGCAAGTGGATTAATCTTGTGGTATTATGGATTAGACAGTTTGTTGATTCTGATTTCTGACAATCAGATTCTTGTGAACTGAATCCTCAACTCATTCTAGCCAGAATGTGAAACAAACAAAACACTAGCTGATTGTAGACAATTTTGACAATCAGAATCAGCCTAACATTATGAACCAAATGAGCCCATTTTTAAATTAATTTACTAAGCATTGTTTCGTAGTTTTTAAGTTGACCCTGCAAGTTTATCCAATTTACTCATATCACCCAGAATTTCAGTAAACTCAGTCACTTCGGCCATTTTGAGTATTGCGAAACCAGCTCTAAAAGTGTGTTTTTGTTCCTCTAGTTTTGTTTTGGTCATGTTTTTGTGTTGCAGCAATTCTGCTAAATTCTAACTTGATGATTATATTTGCTTTGGAACCCACACATTTATTCAATTATCCATTGACAATGCATTGTTCATATTGGCCTTGTTCCTCTAATATGTGTAGAGTCTGTCAGGCCATTCAAGCGGGATCGATTCAGTTAACTTTGATTCATCTGAAATTTTGGTAGCTGCTGGAGCAGCAAGTGGCACTATCAAGCTTTGGGATTTAGAGGAGGCCAAGAGTATGCTTGCTCTAATCTCTTAGGAATTATGTCAATTTTAAATTTTGGTTTACCATTCAATATCTGCTTTTTATTAATTGATTTTCTTTCTCTTCACTTTAGTTGTCCGAACTCTCACTGGACATAGCTCCAATTGTATATCCTTGGACTTCCATTCCTTTGGAGAATTCTTTGCATCTGGTTCTAGACACAAATCTCAAGGTATGGGATATCAGAAGAAAAGGTTGCATCCACACATACAAGGGTCACACTGGAGGCATTAATGCCATCAGGTTCACACCAGATGGCAGGTGGGTTGTATCGGGCGGAGAAGACAATACTGTGAAGGTATGATCCATTCTTAGAATGTGACATTCAATTGGCAGGACCTTATTTGGTTTAAATAACTAACTCTTCATTGACCCAAGAACTAGGAAGATCCTTAAAAAGATGTTCTCGTTATTTCATTTTGCATCATTCATACCATCTTTGTCTTGTTTCAATGAGTCAGAATCCATGACTTGTTTATACAAAAAGAAAAATCTAGCAATTGGCACAACAATTTATGCACATATAACTTCCATTTGTGCTATAGCCTAAGTGCCTATCATCTTTGTGTCCTGACTTTAGTCCATTGTAGTTCCAGCTGTTTCATAATGGTTATATACAATTTTAAGCCGGCCGCTTCTGGAAAAAACGTTGTCAAAGAATAAATAATAAGTTCCTGACTGATTCTACATTGCTGCAGCTATGGGATTTGACTGCAGGAAAACTGATGCATGAAGTTAAATGTCATGAAGGCCAGATTCAGTGCATCATTTTTCACCCTCATGAGTTTTTGCTGGCAACAGGTTGGAGTATACATCTTGTCATTATGTTGCCCAATTTGTTACTTGTATTAATCAGTCAATCTTTCAACTACTTGCATTTGTTTGCTATTTTTTCCATGAATGGGGGTATACATATTTTGAACTTCTTAACTTATTTGTTCGGTATCTGCATTAGTCAGTGTAGAAGTCTAAGTGCAAAACTACAAGACAAAGAGTAAAAGTCTAAGTACAAAACTACAAGAATTTAGTAGCTACAGAGTATTAGTGTTGCCCCACAATATGCGTCCCATGATTTTAGCATTCATTTTCATTTAGCCGTTTCTTTTGTACAAAATAATAAACAGGAAAATTTTACTTGGTTTTTCCTTGGTAATTTGAACTGATATCAGATTATGATAAACTTGTCTAGGAGGAACTGGAACAGGTTGACAAAATGGAAAAAGCTTCAGCTGTTTGTATGGAGTATGTAAGAGAAGTAAAAGCATGTTCAATAGCTGAGGAGTAAAGTAAACAAACTATCAATTTGTCTAACATTCGTGTTCCTCACGCTGAAGTTGTTGTGACTGACTGACTGCCAAAACGGTGGGCCCCACGAGTCAGTCCCCTTTGGGATTAATGGTTTGAACGACCGGCAAACTCGTGTGTCTGCAGGTGCTGGATACTTTGATCATTCCACATGGGTTTCAAATGTTTTCCCATTCAATGAGAGGGAGGAAGGATTCAATGATTCATATTCAAATTGGTTCCCTCTTACAGCATATTGCCCTATTGATTGATGTAAGTATGAAGTGAAAATTGTTTCAATGTGCAGAAACTTTATTTGTTTTTTGTTTCTTTGTTTTTCTGTACTTTACATTTCTTTTCATTTATGATGAAATGGAAATTACTGAATGTAGATTATGATGATTTATAATTATGTAAAGTCCATATTCTCCTTTTTCATATAGCTTTCCCGGTCACTTGCTGAGCAACCCAACCCAACCTGTCGTACAGACCATCAGCGGTGAGGGCAGAGCAGGCTTGGATGTGCTAGTCATGGTTCTTGATGCTGTGAAGGGAGAGGGCATCGGTGATCTCCGCTGGAGTCATGGCATCTTTAAGGTCATGTTTGGATGAAGGGTTTGTTTGGATGAAGGTTTTTTGAGGGGATGCTTTACTCCGAGTAGAATGTTTCAATTTTACAATAATTCTTTTACTTATCTAATTTTGTGTTTCAATTGATAGAGCAAGGCGGATGGATTATGCAGCCGAAGACAAGCAGAATAAATCTTGTTGGTCTTGCTGGACCTGAGCGTCAAAAGCTTATTGGTGCAGCTGGAGAGATACACAAATGGCTTGACTGCGGAAAACAGTGAGCTTTAAGTGCGCCTGCAAACAATGGAACACCATGTGCACTTGCAAGATGGTGAGAATTTGTTATGACACTGTTTAGAGATGTTCTTGTCTTATTGCCTATTTTCTTCTCTTTATGTTTGTTTTGTTGGGTTTTAACCCTTAATCATGGGTTTGAGTACTGAATTTCCCTTTTCCAAAGAGCTTTTTACAAGTTTTTTTACCCTTATACATTATGATGTCATTAGGGAAAAAGTCTCAAGTTGTGTCATGTGTTCACAGTCTCCAGTGTTTTTTCTCTTCATCTTAGTTGCAAGATGTTAATTAATTCAAATCATGTTTCCTTCTTTTTTTCTCCCTCTGTGTACGTAGCCTTAAATGATGCCCTGAAAGAAGAGATACAACATCTGAAAGTCTTGACTGGTCAAGGTGTTGCTAATGGTGGACCTATGATGAACTTCTGTTATGAATGACGTGGGTCACGAGCATACGGAGAATGAGGAGCTCGGGGAAACGGAAGAGGAGCTCGGCCATGAGGATTTGGGGTCTAACCTGGAGTCTGATATGGGTCAAGATGTAGAGCATGAAGAAACGGATGTAGTACCAGACGTGCGCAAGAGCTCGAGGGTTAGGCGTCTTCCCGCATGGCAAAAGGATTATTTAATTTAGTATTTTAGACATTTTAATAATTATTATTGTGCTTTAGATTTTGTTAGGTGAGCGTAATTATAAGCTCCTTCGAGGGTTTCTTTGCGGTTCTTTACCTCGTCGCTTTTCTTTGAACCGCCAGGATAGATAACGTAGTAATTAGGGTTAAAGGGTTTTTGGCTTCTCCTCATTATAAAAGGAGTTGTACGTCACTTGGCCATCATATGAATAAGAATATTAAAACCCTAAAATTCTCTCTTCTCTGCCCGTAGGTTCTGGCGGCCCTCCCTGCCGGCATCTTTCTTCTCTTCCTTCGCCTTACTTTCTGGAGTTCGGAGGCACTCGAAGCCTTCTCTACCCCGATACTTTCGTATCAACTTCCCTCCATCCTATGGAGCAAACTAGCATTTCTATCACAACGACCATTCCATGCACACATTGCTAACAACACAACAGTTCCAGCAGCTCCAAATACACTCACAAAAGCAGCAGCAACAACATCAGCAGGAGCATGAACTTCACCATTCTAGTACAGTACTTCATGGGATCCCATTTTATTTTAGCTTATTAAATTTGCAAAAATTCTTCATTTGACTTGATTCCCCTTGGTTATTTGATTGAGCAACTTCTTCCTTCAGCTTTGTGTGTCATTACTCATTTCCATGTGCACTTGACTCAAGAATAGTGTAGACTGCAACAAATTCTACGGAGTAATATTTTGTTGTAGGCCGTTTTGAAGGGATTACAAATTACGGACTACAATAGTTGATGCGCTCGTACAACATTTGTATGTGTGCAAACAAAAATGTTTTGTATGTTTGTACACAAATTGTTGGGATGAGGCCTTTTTTGTCTCCTGAATAGGCACATTGGCACTGAATCCAGCACCGGACATGCCCATACCCATTTTAAGCATAATTTAAGCCCTAAACAACTCACACATGACAACCATGGATCAATGGGTGAAAAAAAGTTCTTGCTCCTTGTCATACCATACAACAAACCAAACAAGAATAAAGATATTATTAATAGAGGTATTACATAAGGTCTATACAACCATAAGGGGCTGTTTGGCAACTTCTGAATGGGTAAGTGCTGAATCAGTAAGAGGTCTGAACCATTAAGTGCTGGACCAGTAAGAGGTCTGAACCATTAAGTGCTAGTATATTTCTTAACTATTCAGAGGCAAATGCCTGATCAATTCAGATAAGAGGTATTAACCATTCAGACTCTGTATAATACTTAACCATTCAGAGGCAAATCTCTTAACCATTCAGACTTCTGAACCATTAAGAGGCTGAAACAAACAGTCTGAACTATTAATAAGTGCTGAACCATTCAGACATCTGAACCATTAAGAGGCTGAAACAAACAGCCCCTAAGTGTCACCATTTTGTTTTGTTTTTGCTGTTCTTATTAATACGACGTCATATAGATAAACAGGGTGATATTATAAGTTTTTTATTTACAAAGCTGACAAACAAGGGTGATTATTTTATATGGAGAGAGCTAAGTTTCCACACAAGACACTCTTTTGGGTAAAATTTACGGAGTAATTCACAAGTCATAGTGAAGATTAGTTTCAAAAGAAATGCTTAGTGAAAGTAAAATTTAATTCACAAGTCATAAAAATTTGTCTTAATTGTTATATAAACCCAGGTCAATTGTTATTAAAATTTTGTTTCCTCACCCAATTATGTTTTACTCCGTAATTGTTTTAAAAAACCCAGGATATAACAATTCTGTCAAAAAAAGGAAATTTATTTCCTCACCTGGGTTTCCTCACGATTTTGAAACGAAATAAAAGGAATTAAAATTTCGAAAAAATTAAATCGAAGTAAAACCCAATTAAAACACGGTTGCTTCAAAGACTTGAAACTTAATTCAAAGGAATGTAATACATTAGGAGCATACATGGAGAAGAAGATTAAAAGCAATTAGCATCCATATGAGAACATAATGGCTGCTCACCTTAGCCAGCGGAAACTCTTAGCGCGGCACCGGAAAAAAAATTAGGTTTGGAGCTTCTGCAAAAATCGGCGCTGCTTATATAATTACTCTTTACGGAGTATATTTAAGTACAGCCGTTACACAATATTAGAATCATAATTCCAATATAAGTCTTGATTCGTAATTATGAATTTTTGTTTTTTGATTGTTTATAAAACATTTTTTTTAATTTTTAAAATTACTTTGTACATCCATTTCTTTTTATTTTAAAATATTAGTCTTACCTTATAAAAAACTAAAAATACATCTAACAAATTAAAAATAAGAAAAATAATTAAGGCTCCGTTTCATTGAACTTATATTTTCTGATTTTATCTGATTTTTTATAGTTTTGATCTGATTTGATTAGATCAGATCGGATTAGTTCTGATTAAATCATATTAGATCTAGATTTCATCGTATTAAATATGATAAGATCAGACAGGGCCGGTCCCGAGGATTCATCAGCCTGGGCCAAAACAGAAAAAAGGCCCTAAAAATCTTTTATTTAATGGTCTAAAAAATTCACATATGTAAACTAATTATATCTAAATTATAATTAATGCAATATTATTAAAAGAAAAAAATAAATGACAAAATTAAAGTATTATAATTACATACCGTAAAAGCTAGCCGAGGATTCGAGAAGTTCTCCTTGCATTCTTGAGAGCAAATTGGTTGATCACATCTTCACAGTCTATGCTCTCTAAGATTTCATTCTCGATAGCTATTGAATTATTTCTGAAATAAAATCCAAAATCATAAATTCTACTAAGTAAAATCAAGAATAAAAACTGAAAAAAGCAAGCAAATAAATAAATAAATATATCATAAATTAATATCAATTCGTCAATTTTTCCTTTTTTAATTGTTTTTTATTTTTCAGTTTTAATTTTTTTATAAATCATAAATTCATATCAATTCAACAATTTTTCAGTTTTTAACTTTTTTTCGGTTTTCAGTTTTTTTAATATAAATATATAATTATCATAAATAACAAATTCAAAACAATTCATCCAAATCAAATAAATAACATATAGAATCATTCATTCATTCTATTTCAAAGAATGAAATTAGAAAAGATATCAAATTTAAAACTAATAACTAACCCTAGATTTTAAATCTAAATAATGAAACAATGAAAGAAAATTAAGATTTCAGAAATCAAAATTACAACATTGGAAAGGGAAGGCTATGAATAATTACCTGGAGGCGTGCAGATCGGCGACTCGGCGTTCGGAGGTGGAGGCGGCGACTCAATCGGCACTTGCACGTTTCTGGCACGTCGTCTCTGGACACTGGTTTCTTCGTCACTTCGTGAATTCGATCGCCAGTTTCTTCCGTTCCTTTCTTTTTTTGGTCTAAGTTAAGGCATTGGTGGACTACTGGACTGGGCCTGGGCTTATATACATACATACATACATACATACATATATATATATATATATATATATATATACACACATATATATATATACATATACATATATATATATATACACACACACACACACACATATATATATATATATAACTTAAAAAAAAATTTTTTGTGCCCCCAAAATTATTGGGCCCGGCCTGGACGAACACCTTGTCCCCCTTATGGGCCGGCCCTGAGATCAGATCAGATTGGGACGAAAATTAAATGAGATCTTATCTGATTTCATTCGATTAGTTCAAATTTCATGTGATGTGACGAATGAGTTTTTAATTTTGTGCTGAACATTTTTCCCTTCTGAAGCTTCGGACGAATTTGAGCCTAACCTTTCCAAAATATTTATTTCCTTAGAGTTTTACACTATTTGAACCAGTTTTCAATTAAAAATTCCTAATTTTTTAACACACTTTTTATAAACAAAATGAGAACTTTGACAAATTTTTCAAAAGAAAAATCATTATTTTTATTTTAAACTAAATTTATTTATACACAAAACATTTAAATATGAGTAAAATAATAAGTACAAAATGTACTTATCATGATGCGATCTGATCTCATTGAAATTATTGATACTACTACGCTCACATCCAACCTTAACAAATTTGATTTTGATTACATTTAATCTGATATGATTCGATCTAATTCCGAATGATCTTTCTTAGGGTCCATTTTAGACATGTACAAATAAGGATCCGGGATGAATCTGGGACGGGCTTAATACAAACTATTAGCCCATTTGCATGGGCGGCCTTGGTCCGGCCCGGATTTGATGGGCTAAACTCTTTACCCATACCCGCCCACTTTAGTGGGCCGAACTACCCACCGGGCCGCCCGGCCCGGATAAAACATCAAGTAAATCTTTTTTACACAAAAAAATCAAAAAGAAAATATTGAACTCCTTTTCAAATGTTTAAAATAAAATTACCACTCGCCATATTTGCATAGAAAACATAATAAAAATATTGTTACATAAACCCATCATACAGATTCATTAAAACACTATTGATTTTTGTTTAAGAGGGGTGAGTGATATGAACTATTATACATGAATTAAAGAAAATTTTAAAATTTATAATGTCTAGATAATTAATAATAAAGTAAATGTATTTAATGAATATGGGTGGGCCTATTGGCTCGGATGGGCTAAAAGTAATTTCCAAATCCGTCCAAATACAATTCGGGCTTGGCCGGCCCGCCCATATGGGTATTAAAGATTGCCGCCCATTTTAAAGGGTGGGCTGGGCGGCTCGGACAGGCCGACCCTTGTTTGCACATGTCTTTTCCATTTCGTACAACTTATTGATGCAACTTATTAGTTATTCTTATTAAAATCAGATCAGATCCAATCAGATTAAACCACATCTTAATCAGATCGGATCAGTTCTAATTAAATCATATTAGATCTAGATTTCATCGTATTCGATATAATCAGATCAGATTAAGACGAAAATCAGATGAGATCTGATCTGATTTCATTCGATTAGTTTCAATTTCATGTGATGCGATCTCATCTCATAGAAATTATTGATACTACTGCGCTCACATTCGACCTTAACAGATTTGATTTTGATTACATTTGATCTGATATGATCCGATCTAATTGCGACCTTAACAGATTTGATTTTGATTAAATTTGATCTGATATGAACCGATCTAATTCCGAATGATCTTTCTTATGGTCCATTTCGTACAACTTATTGATGCAACTTATTAGTTATTCTTATTAAAATCAGATCAAATCTAATTAGAGTAAACCACATTCTGATCAGATCGGATCAGTTCTGATTAAATCATATTAGATCTAGATTTCATCGTATTCGATATAATCAGATCAGATTGGGACGAAAATCAGATGAGATCTGATCTGATTTCATTATTGATACTACTACGCTCACATTCAAATTAATTTTGTTTTGAACTTAATTTTGAACTTAATTTTGTTTTCAACTTAATCGGATCAGATCAGATCTACATCCCCCTGTTCGCCCTCACCCCCGCCAGCCTCCTAAAGAATGGATCACTATAAAGAAGATTTGAAATTGACCCCGTAAATAATAATCATGTTATTGTTTTTACAATTCTATCTTATATAAAAAAGTTAAAAATATTCTTTAATGTTTATCTTGTTAATTATGTTAGAATAATAGACCAACGCTAGAGGGGGGGTGAATAGCGTTTGATCGGAGAAATCGCAGGAATTAAAAAATTAAAAGAGAAGTAAAGAGAAGAGTAAGAGGCACACCGAATTTTACCCTGGTTCACCACAACTTGTGGCTAATCCAGCCTCCCGAGAGACTCTCTCGAGCTACACTACTATCTCGTTAAGCTTACGGGTGCTTAACAAACCGTTACAACTTGAGAGTTCGAGTCACACGAACCTCAACGAATCCTTCAAAGGAAACAGACCTTCCTTTGAATCAACCGAGAGAGATACTATCTCTCAACGTGTCTAAGAACACAAGTACACTCAAGAACGAGACTCTCTTATAGAGTAGATTATGAGTAAACTAAGTACGCTCAAGAACAACTCAACCTTCACACAAAAATGGCTCTAGAAAGCTAAGGAAAATGATGATGTTTGAATGCAATGAAAGTATAGATGTTGTGAAGTGAATTTATTAGAAAAGCAGACCCAAACACCCCTTTTTTTAGTGCCAAAGAAGGCTCCAACGGACCAATGCATTAAAGGGGTGATTGGCTTGATTTATGGGATTGAAAAGATTTGGGATCTGCAGAATATTGGCTTCCCATCGATGTTTAGACTCAACCATCGCTGGTAAGCCAATTTTTCTTCAGTTTTGAAGTCAAC